TCCTGAGCGTACGGTTGTAATAAAGGGTTTTCTTGCTATAAGGGAATGAACTTCTATGTATTAAAATACTTTATATATATATGTATATATTACACGGACGGACGATAAAGATAGTAAAAGTCTGCTGGGATTGAAATTGAATTTTGAAGCACATGCGTACATGAATGAATGAATGAATGAATACATGCAGTAGCAGAGAAGTTAGAGAAAATGAAATCAATTCACATTTAACGTAAACAATTTAATAAAATAAAACACATTTTACTGCTTAATCCGATTATTTTAGGAATATGATATGCATATAGTTTCATTTAATTGGAACAGCATGCAATTAAATGATATTGCCAGGATTAATTTTAGATCCCACGCCATGCCATGCCACAGTTTGCAGTTAGTAGAGATTCTTAAATAAATGAGGGCGACCAATCAGCAAGGTCATGAAAACCATAAAAGAATCTTCGGCACAGCCGAGCTGCCTATGTTTTATATCAACTATCTCCAATTAAAATATATCTTACTTTAAATTAATTACATCTTTTACACCCGAAACCCATTTAAAATGGGAAATCAGGGTATAATAGTTTTGAATTTAAAAAAAAATTAGTTAAGCAATCAAAATATTTGTAAGGCAAGCAGACATTCTGTTACACGTAGTTCATGAACGATACAGAATATTTACTACATCCTCTGAATACAATCTATCGTTCATGAGGAGCAACAAACTAACTCAATAAAGCGGAATGCATATTGATTGATTAAGTCTACTTTGTTATATGTATATTTGATAAATTTCTAAATCGGACGCCCTTTTTAGTTTTGGTGAATTATAGTCTTTATATTGTCTTGGCGTGGTGTACATAAATTTAGAAAAAATAAGGAAAGGCTTACAGCTTGATCAGTGTTGCTCTTGCTATAGGGAACCGGTATCAAGCGTTCTTGCAACTCGCCGCCTATTACCTTTAAAATTGAAGAGAAAGTAAAATGGAAAACAATAAGTGGGAAGAGAAATATACAGGTTGAAGTCAGTTACGTGTGGCTGCCATAAAGATACTACATTGATTTTATGAATATATATTCATATATACTGCACAGCGTACATACAAACTTTAATCATACTTAATCACCATATAGGTTACATAAACAGCAGTTGTTAGGTCACTCAAAACTCTCAAAGCCGAGTTACAAATCTACTTTATGTAACCTGGGGTGGCTGTACGTGTGCCATGTATGTATGTATATGTATATATTTAGAATATGCTATATTAATCAAATTTATTATATCAATAGTAGAGTATAGCAGAGAAGAGAATTATACATTTGCATATATATATATACCTGCCTCTTCCACAGTTGTATAATATATATATACAACTGTGGAAGAAGCAGGTGTTGGACGGTTTGGATTAAAGGGTAATATAGGTAGAAGTGTATATATATGTGTGTGTAAGCGTGTTCGTGTTTGGTTAAATAAACTGAGACTGTATAATTCAAACAATTGTAAAACAAATGTCTAATGAATATTTTGAAAAGGAGGATTGACGCACCACTTGGTAATATGTACATATGTATGTATGCTTTAATGGCTGTGTAAATTATAAATGTATTTATGAATGCAAGTTCGAAATAGATAGGTAAGCGTGGTTAAGTTTTGGACAACATGCCATCTCTAAGGCTATGCTATTGCATGTACATTCATATACTAGTCGGCATAATTATTTCGACGAAAAAATGTTCGCATACTTTGAACATAACTTTTTAACGGCTTTATGCAGAATTTTGTATTTATTTCTCTTTTGTTACATATTTATTAATTATTAGGGCATCGCAAAAGTATTTTGACAAGAATGTAATACTGAAAGCTGAAGAAAAGTAAAGGAATGAAGACATATTAATACAAAAAAGCTCTACTCGAGACTGCTCGACTAGGAGATACCCTGAACCCTCTAAGCTGATATTCTACTTATTCTGCACTTCTTCTATGCACACATGCATACACAAGCATCCACACGCGCGTGTAATCACGCGCTCTCCTAACTGTACAGTAAGAAGCGACTGCGCTTGTGCTGCGCTGCAGTGTGGGCAATATTATGCGAATTTAATTGTTGAATAGTTTCTTTTGTAGAGGAACTATTTTTATGAAACATTCAAAGTACATTTCAAAGCACAAGTCTCTAGTACTTGGAATGCGTTTTTTACAAATTGGGAGCGAAGGGGGCGTAGTATCCAAAATCTGTGAATGACAAAATCTTTGTATCCAATATCTTTATATACAACGCAAATTTGTCCGTAAAAGTGTAAAAGTCTAAAAGTGTTCAAATTAGGCTGAAAAAACAAAGTCGATTTTTCGATTATTCTCGATACAAAAGTTATCGGATGAGTTATCGAAAAAATAAGATAAACTTGTACTGCGTATGGTACACACGAGCATGCATGGCAAAGCTCTCTAGCTCTTATAACTTCCGAGATCTAGGCGGTTATACGGACGGACGGACACGGCTTTATCGACTCAGCACGTCGCCTGATCGAGAAAGTATATACTTTATGGTGTCTGCGATGATTACTAATGCCTGCTACATACTTTTTCACAAAGCCTTTATACCCTAATTTCCTACCCTTAATGGGTTCAAGATATAAAAAGCTTTCGTCAAAATACATATGCTACGCCAAAATTCGATGCTTGCATGCATTTATATAAGAAAGAGAACGGAAAAGATAAACAGCATAAAATTTGGAATGCATAGAGCTATTATTGTTTGATCATAATTAGTACTAAGCAATGCCGACTTTAAGTCGCAGATCGATTTCGTCAAAATATTTATGCCGACTATTATACATATTTCGATTTCCCTTAGATGCCGATTATGCATAATACACCGATTACCTCTGGAAATTCCACTCTAAAGGTAAAAATATCGAATAAATATTTTGTATGTGTGTATGTGTAGGACGTATGTACGTACATAAATGCAAGATAAGTTTCGATAATTGAACGATAAATACAATATATAATATTCAATGTCATGAACTTAAATGGATGGTAAGACTACGAAACTTAGATTTACATGGATTTAAAGAGATATATCCAAACATAATATTAATTAAAAAAATAAAAATTAGGATGAATAATATTTACATACAACAGTAGAAAGTCTGTGCATGTGAGCCTAAGAAAAAATCAATCGATCTATCGTTGGGTCGTGTGACCCTAATTATATAATTATTAAATTATTAATTCGTATGCGTGTTCAAACGATTTTGAGTTTGTCACATTGATTCGATTCGTTCCTGTCTAGATCTTTAATATTCTTTTAACATTTTATATGGTAACATACATTTACATATAATTGAGTTGGTATAAGTACTTGCCACATTGTTTTGGGATTCCATATCCACCCCAGAGTAGTACTCTTTTTTTTGGATCAGATATTTTTAAGCATTTTATGTCCAATCCTTAGACTTTCAATCACACATATGCACACAATTGCAATCGAAACCAGGCAAAAAAAAAAAACGTAAAACTATGCAGGTTTTTTTTTTTTTTTCATATAGTTAGTAATACGCGTACCACAAGAGTGTAATATTAACTTTTACAAAAATTAAAAAGAATACAAAATCATGCGTTTAAATAACAGTTGCTAAGCGGTAATTAGATTTCTTAGTACAGTAGATAATTATCGGGATACGGCAAACAAGGCTTTTAAATCGACATTGATATCGATATAGCTATATATATGTTTGCATGTGTGTTCGCGTATGAGTGAATGCAGGCGCAGAGGTGTGTCTGTATGCACATCTGATGCATTCGAATGCATAAATGAATCTCAGTGTGATATGTATAAAGCGCTTAATCAGTGCTGCCAATCGAGACATTTTCCGAACAGGACAATATCAATTAGTATTGTTTAACACACAACAATTAGTTGGTTCGATTTTGATATTTCAGGTCTGCAGCACAGTTGCATTTCACTTAACAAGCACCGATGTGCAGATATACTGTTATGCGTGAATGCATACGTACAGCATCTGTACGTATGCATAAGTATGTCAATGGTTATGATATTGTTTTCGTTTTAGTTTTTGGCATTTCAAGGTACGCGATGTGTCTTAAATTCGGGTTTCGTTCTGCCCATTTCCAGCCTGCAGGCTATGGACAGCATCAGAGAAGCCACTGCCAGTTGGTCGAGCAGATGAATGAGTAAATGGTAAATGCGATTGATGTGTGTCAGACGTTGATGTTGATCCATTTTGCAAAGTGCGTTGCTGCTGCTGTGGATCTTCGTCAATATAAGATATATCGGAAGGCAGACTTGCATTTGTTACATGCTGCTGAGGTTGCTGCTGCTGCTGATGATGATGGAGGTTGTGGTGGTGGTGGTGGTGCTGCTGCTGCTGTTGGGGCTGTTTGCTGCTGTAATTGGGGCTCAATAGATTTAAATTGTACAGCGGGTGCGCACCACTGCCAGTGGGTATGCCCGTCCGTGGGCTACGCAAGCTATGCAAACTGTGCATTGAGCGACGTTCGTTTAGATCTTCCAGTGTCGAGCGGAATGCACGAATCACGCGCAACTGAAACAAACGAAATTAGACAACAAACGAACAGAAACAGAAGCATAATAACATAATTACATAAAACAATAAGCATAATTAACATAAGAGCTCAATATTTTCAGGCTACACACACTTGCACTTCGTACATTGGCTATGCATGCATACATACAACATGTGACGACATAGTGGAGAAGCCCATATGCACATTTAAAATGTACATTTTCAGTATACAGTAAACATATATGTATGTATGTATGTATGCATGTAAGCCTTGGCTTGTTAGTACTTACACGTCAAAAAAAAAAAAAAAATTTAAAATAAAAAATAAAATTTAAAGAAATAGGGAAAAAACCCAATTAAGCATTAACAATAAGAGAGAAGCAGAAATATACATATGTATATAGCTCAAAAGTAGTTTTCAGCCGGGAAAAGAAGGGGTTGGTTGCTCAGAGCTGTACTGTAGCATGCAGCCTATCTATAGTCGGCTACTCTATTTATTTGAATAGCTTTCTTAACGGACGAAAAGTAAATCAGGGTGCGGACACAATCGACGGTGAGTTTTGATCAGTTATATAATTTCGCTGCTGTTGTTATTATTAACAGAACCATATTTGGGTACGCATTAAATTGTAGTCATAAAAGTCGGAAGTATTATCAGTAAGAAAGCAAAGCAGTGAAACCAATTAGGCACAGGAACTCACAAATTGCGTAGTAAGTTTCATTAGATATGTTAGAGATCAAGATCTTCTATATACACGAATATACTTAAAAAGATATATGTCAGAAAATATGAATTTTTGGAAAAGTTTGCACGTGCAGAAGCGTTTAATAAGCAGAATACCGACGGTAAGCATGCAGTGTATTTACATATATGTATACATATGTGGTAAAATCATTTAGTTTGATTTTCCGACTAACACACATCTATGTATATGTATGCTTTGCTTTTACAATATAACAGCTGTGTATAAACAAACGAATATTATAACAATACAAGCAAGGAAAAACATAACTGAAACTTTTTTTTTACCAACACTGAGTACGTTTTGGGTTTTGTTTGAGGTAAGAATAAATAAATAGCACCAAAGTAACTGTKAAACAAAAATAAATATAGAATCACACACGCGCGCACACACATTAAATCAGTCAGCCGCGGATATACTCATCTACATTGTCCTGAAAGTGTCAATGGACTTTCATGGCAATGGCATGTACAGCCGCCAAGCCATATACTATACTCGTAAATTTGTATGTATTAGGGGTTGGATCTTACATTAAGCATTAAGCATACAGGGTGGCTGCACATTTGTGACATTATCGACTCCGAAGTGATAATTGTCTACTGAGAGTTGCATTTAAGTATATTTCAGATCTTATA